GGCGTAGTCGAACGGTACACACTCGGTAAGTAATCCTATAATTTTTTGTTTATAGCATAGTTTATACGGATTACTCCCAAAAAATTATACGTGTTTTGGAAATGTTGAGTGGAATTAGTCTAGAATCGGTTAATTTTATAGAAGAAAACCTTTCGAACAGCCTTATTCCGTAAAGTTCCCACCTATCGGGCTGCTATTGGCTCATGTATTTAATCATTCCTACAACGTAAAATTCGATTAGCGTGGAACGTATCTAAGCATTATAGGGGGGTCTACTGTATATAATTCAATCATAATTGTTTATTGAAAATGAAATATTTGCATTTACTGATTCATATGTTAATGTATAAATTTTACCTTACTTTTTATTTATTTAATTAAATTGCAAAAACAATTTAATTACTTTTTGTGTCGTTTATTTTTTTATTTTTATTTTTTAGTTTTTTGAAACCGTGCCAGTAATTGTTTAGTAATTTTTTATCTAACATTAAGTGAATTATTCAACACTCATTTTGAATATTTAATTTCCATAGGAAAAGTGTTCAATAATAGCAAAATAGTATTGAAAATCTTTAACATCTATATATAAAATAGATGTAAAATATATACGAGTGCATATATTTGTTCTCTATTCATTTCTAAACCCTTTGACTGATCTGCACTAAACTTTTCCTAGTTATTCTCTGGGGTCCTCATATACAAACTAAGTAATTTGCCTATAGAGTAATGGCACTATAGTGGCACTATAGAGTAATGGCACTAAGTAATGGCACTATAGAGTACAAAGAGACTGTAACTTAATCATAGTCAGGTCGGGCACCCATATTCACTGAGGTGACTGGACAGACAAGTCAGACCTGAGTTAAATGCTCAAGCTCTGGTGGTACGACCCAATGGAGACCAGTCTTCCTTGTTCTTGAGTCTAACCCTTTTACGTGGACTTAGTTTTGTGTGCAGCCTGTACTGCACTACAGTGCTCTACAATTGAGAGTATTGATCACACTTTAACAGTTAAAGTGTGATCAATACTGACCATCTCACTCTGACTCACTAACCATCTGGTGGATGCCCTGCCTGGTGCATCCACTGGACTATAGGTCAAAAAGACAGAAGACAATTTCCATCAATTCCTTTAAAGTCTCTAAGTTTCCTTTACTTGCTGCTAGTATTTGAAGTACTTGGTCTTTGGGCTTGTTCCAATCAATGTGATTAGCCTTTCTACGGAAGTCATCCGTAAAGGGGCACTTAAGTACTGTACATAGTGTCGTGTGTCGCTGCGCAGACACCCACAGGAGCAGCAACCATCTCCATGTCCAAATTTGGATTTGAAGTGGGAAAACTTCCCATGCCCCATGAGTGAAGACCTGGGTCAGTGTCCAATCACAACTGATCGGAGTTTGGCCAACTTCAAGCACAAAGGCATAGGTCGTCCTACCTACTGTACTAAGGTTCCAGCACTCTTGCCAGTATGTCATTGATCATTGCAGTAGAGTACCTTTTATGTAACTTGCTGGAGGTTCTACCTTCTCCAATAACAAATGGGCCCTTGGCTGCTGCCTTGGCCAAGTGATCGGCATGCTTGTTGCCTGGGATCCCAATGTGGCTTTGGACCAACCACAGATCAATGCCTCGCCCTCAGTATTCTACCTCTGATCTCCAGTACCAATTCCTCTCTGTGGTATCCATGACTCAGGGTCTGAAGTGACAAATAGCTGTCAGAGTATACTGTGACCGGCTCAGGACCTGGATGGAATAGGATTCACTGGGATGCTCCTGAAAGAGCCACCAATTCAGCCTGGAACACAGACTCCTCATTCAGTCTGACTGACAAACTGTACACTATCATAAATAAATATATATATATATATATATATGGTATAAACTATATGTTTATGATAGTTTTACTATGATTTTACTATATATATGCGTGCATCCACACACGTGCACAGATTATCCCACTTCTCCTGTTAACATCTAAATCCCTTGTCTGATCTGCACCAAGTTTTTGATAACTCATATTTACTCATAACAAGTTTAAGTTCAGAGTTAATTTAACTGCTAATTTAAAATCTCATGGTAAAAATATTAAAATTCCCATTAAAAAAATGAACACACAAATTTGACTCTGCAGTAACTTCATCAAGCAAAAAATTTGCAAATGGTTGCAGATGAATTACTAAAAATTAAAAAAAGGAAAAAAACTTTAAAA